GCTTTCTTAAACGAGAAAAAATTTTAATCCTGTTTTGACTGAGAAACTTGTTGCAGATTTAAAATGAGACAAATATGAATTGTATTGTGTACCAACATCAAAGTTGGATTAATAGAATTAAGTACGATCATTCATTTTGATAGTGATATTTTGTCTCAACAAGTTCGTCATTTATTGGTACAACAATTTGTTACAGTTTTCTTTAACAGAAATTTGATTTAATACTGATAATTACTTTTGAGTATTATAAGCACTGAACAATGCTTCTAATATATTTAAACAATCAATCACTGCCGCCGCAAGCAGGTGTGCAAGCAGGTTGTGTACTGAATAAGAGCACATTAACAAGAAAGGTTCCAATTTGAAGCTGCGTTCTGTTATTCACTGCGGATACTGAAAATCTGTAGTATACAAAACGTGAACTATAGATATTTTTAGTACTCGTAGTGAATAATGCACAACAGCTTAAGTTATAAAAATCAGTTCTCTATTTTTTTAACACTATAATCGCGTGTGTTTGCTTCAGTCAAATTTAATTTCCTGCGAAACGTGCATCAATTTCGAGAAATTGTGTTACAAAATCTGAAATCATTAATCGAATCAGATAGCTGTCCATTTCCCGATATTACTAAAATGTTTCAGTACATACAGATCATCAGTACCATATATCACGCCATTTTAGCACCAGAATACTGATCAGGTAATATTTTTTTATAGAATGAAAATGTAAAAAGTGAAAAAGTGTTTTATTAACTTCAATCATATAATTTTCAATATGATTAATTTAATTTAATTTAAATGAATGTTAGTTCAACATCTTAACACTCGGAACTGTAAGGCGCTTCGTATTTAAAGTTCATATAATTTTCAATTTGATTTTCATTTTTCACATTTCCACCCTAGGAAAACGTTACAAAATTACCATAGAATAAAAATGAACAAATTATGTCCTTCCTAAAAATATTTAAAACATTATTTTAAAAAAGTATCTATTTAAAAGATAAATGAAAATGTTAAAAGAAAGGATAAAATTCTTTTTGTACAAAGATGTCTTATATGTTCTTGAGGCTTCCACGGGTGCTTTCTATATAAAAGTTATGCGTTTCGCGGGTTTCCTCCATGAGGATCCAGATCCATTCTTGGAATGCCAACATTTCGTGAATCTTGCAGTCCACTTTTATCAGGCTGCTCCTCGCCCTGATAAAATGCATTCCAAGAATGGATATGCGCGAAACGCATAACTTTTATATGTCTTATACGTATGTAGCGGCTCTGATTTTATCTTTCAATATATTATTTAATCTTCCAGTATTTCTATAAACTTTTCGAAGTCGACAGATATTCTTTCAGATTTTGAAATGATTTCGAGAAATAATTGTTGCAATCATAATTTTACATTAGTATTTCAAGATAACATAAATAAAAACGCGAAAAATCACATACGATCCAAAACTTTTATCGAAAATGTTGCAATTTCTGGAAAATATTGATACAAAAGGTATTATGCCTGTTTTCTAAGATTCTGTCGTACAATTAAATAGTCGACAATAAGCATTTATCTCGCCACAGTTTACTATATTTATTAATCTGTTTATATTGACTTCTGTCACCGAACTATTGTAATTTTATAGTTATAAAATTTTGAAATTTTTTAGAAATTATTTAAAAATTCTAGCTATACTATTTTTGTTCATTAATTTCATGTTTGAAAGAAAAAGAGAAAAACAGAGAAAGAGAGAGAGAGAGAGAGAGAGAGAGAGAGAGAGAGAGAGAGAAATGTGTCCTAAGTGTAATAACAATATAAATACTAACGCAAAAGCAGATACACGATCATTCGTTGCAAAGTTTTCCGCGGTGAAACAATAAATTATTTTGAGAAGTATTGACAAATATACGAACCATTTATTCTGCAAGCTTCTCAAAAAATTGCTAATCGCGATAATAAATCAGTTGCGCGTTTGGTGACTATTGTTAATGGTGTATATGACATTAATTTAAGTTTCTCGATAACTGAGATAATAAATACTGACTGATTATGAAATGGACGTCGTTCGGATTTTCTGTATCTTTCTAATATTTGTATGCGCTATCGTACTTCTGCTTTATTTGACTATTCTTCTTATTCTTTCAAAAATAGCAATTCATTCTATAAGAATCGTTTTCTAAGAAATAAGTATCTGACAATATTCGAAGAAGAAAATTGGAAAATTTTGATTGTAAGTAAATCTTGATTTAAGATTTTAATGAATGCATAAAAATTTCGATCGTTTATTAATATCTATAAGTAATATTTTTGTTGACAGTGTTAATCGAATTATTTCATAATTTAAATCAATAATCAAGCAACTAATAACAAAAATGACGAAATAGAGACTTTAGACATCATTATTATTTTCTTGTTCGTATTCAATCTTTTAACGCATCATTGGTTTTGGTACAGATTTGACAGAGCAAAGGTATTCTTTATCAATCGATTTAAGTGATCACACGCTTATGCTTAAACTTCAATTCATATTCAAAAGAGATGATGGAAATACTTGAAAAGATTTGAAAAGGCTCAAAAAATTTTCAAGCGATTGGTAAGTTAATTTTAAATTCATATCTTTGTGCATGAAATGAAGTTCGGAACGTTCATTGACCATATCTAATAATTTTGTAATGAGATAAAAAAGGATTAAAGCTATAATAGATTCGGAATGCGTTTAAAAATATAAAAAGAGTGGCTATAAAAAAATGCGATTGATTTTACCTAGAATTTATCTTTGTGTGCTGTTCATTTTATTTGTTAACAATCAGATCTTTTTTCAAAAATCGATACCTCCGGAATTTACTCGGATAAAATTGCTTGAAACAGCCACTTTCTACGCGTATGTACAAGAATTCAAATCTCATATTCTAGCTGAGAACGTAAATATAAACATGCGAATAGAAACGGATATAAATCACTTTGAACGTCGAGCAGCTCTTATCGTTTGTCAATCTCGGGAAAGTATTGACATGGAGAAGTACGGGTAAAATTCGAAATTCGTACATCGAGTTGCCGAGATCACGATAATAAATCACGCGTACGGTGTGTTTACGGTGGTTTACCCAAATTTTTCAGTGACTTGAAGCGACAAACGCATCACAGCGAAATGGAATGCAAAATGTGTACAATGTACATTTTGCTACTTATAATAATATTATTGCTGCTATGTAATATCTTTATGTGGTTCCAATATTTTTTCTCTAGTTTGAAATTACCCAAACTACCCATCTTCAAGAATGACGCAAATAATGAATACTAGAAAAGATTTTCAAGCAGTTGTAAGTAAATCTTCTAAGAACTATTTTCATGCGAAATGGAGTGTGCGTTAAACTGCATCCAATGATTTTGCAATGGAAAAAGAAAGATTAAGATATATTAAAGACAAGAGATTCGAATTATAGACTGTTAAATAGCAATTAATCGACATAAAATGTTTATATTGGTGTCTCTCTCATCTCTGTTATATGATTCACTTTATTTATATATCAATCGATTCGTTACAATTCTGCTTTTAAACTCTCGGCGCTCTCAGGATTTATTTAGAGCTGCATTCCATTTGGCACTCATAACGCGAGTACTATTTATTCTTGTTTAATATTTGATAAACAATAAAGATGAAATGATTCCAAGAGCATGGCAAGCATCAAGTAAAAGCTTAGAGTTCGAAAGCAATTTTCGCGTGCGAGAATTTGTATTTTACAATTCGATATCTCGAACGAGAAAAATATAAACGTGTATACAAAAGTCAATATTCATAATAGGTTCTTATTTTAAAAAAAGCATCTTAAGTAATGTCTTAAGATGCTAACACAGCTCTGTGATTGATTTATAACATCTTCAAACTATATTTAAGTGATCTTAAATATAAGAACTGATTATATAAATATCAGACAATTATTTTAAAATATCACGAAGCTTCGGCAGGATATCCATTAATTCCGAGAATATATTTCGCAAGATAGAATTAATATCCACAAAGATTTTTCACAATTGAGTCGTCGATAAAAGAATAATATATCACATCATGTAGTATCTATTAATAATAGAAAGTCGTTTGCGATAATAAAATGGAATTAAAAATAAAATATGTTATGGAAATATCTGTTATTATTTCCATAATTATATTCACTTTGTTATGATTTTTCTTCTGCTTATTAAATATTTTAAGAAAGAATTATTGTGTATATATAAAGGGAGATTACTAGGGGAGGATAGTCTTCAAAATTAATATAATACGTAACTATAAAGTTTTCCGAGGAATTTCATAAACAATCATAAATGTATATCTTGAATTAGTATTTTTATGCAAGAAATAAAATTCGAAACATATTATGAACATCTCGTGATTTTATAGCATTGAAAGTTGAAATAAATTCGAACGATGCTAATGGATACAAGAAGAATGGTTAATTATGTGAAAAGAAATGTAATCATTCGTTTTGGCAATATTCACCTTGCATAGATATTTTATTTACACATCAATTCGCTACAATTCTCCTTTCGAAATTAGTAGTTCGTTTATAAAGCGGCTTCCAAACAGTTGCTATTCTCAAACACAAATTCAAAATTCATTCATTCAGTTTTTCTTCATCAAAAAAGTAAATTTATTATTTTCAATATTAAACACTGAAGGTTTAACTTTTTTACGTAAAATTAAATTTCTACTTAACTAAAGACTCATCTAAAATTATTTAAAAAAAATGGAGTTTCTTTATTCAATTTACAATTTGTCGAAAAATTCTTCATTAAAGAGTCAATAACTCTTAAGTTTTTGAGGAGAAGCAGTCAATTTCAAACTCATCGAAGGATACATTATAATGATTCTTATATTTTCTGAATTAATCTTGTATTCACCTTGCTTTTTATTGCTCGGAGGTAACGGCAGTATGCGAAACACATTGAGATGTTTACAAAAGCTCTCAATTCGATATACTCATTAGATGTTCGAGATTTTAATAGAATAATATTATTGTTTTTATACTCGGTCAATTACGAAAAGAGAAGACCGAAGATTAAGATAATGACGCGGACTCGAAACAGCACATTAAAAAAGTTATACAAAATCAGAGCTAAAAACAGCTTCCTAACTAAGTTGGTACTTGACAGACAGTATCTAAGAGGTAGTAGCAGCGATGCTTTCTTAATGTGGTCAACATGGTTCCTTAGCTTCTTCTTTTTCTCATCTAATCAGTTTTTTCGTCCGCCACGTCTTTTCATCGAGGATGTACATTGAGGACAATACCACTTCCCTTTTGGTGGTGCAGTGATCCCCACGCATGGATAATGGAACCATTCAAAAGGGCACTAAAAAGCAATCATTATAAATATATATATATATATACTTTAAATATATCAACGGTCTTACGTCTGAATTGTCACAAGCAACCATATCGCCGTACGAAACTTGATTGCATATGCAATAGCGTGGTTCGTTCGGATCGTATGTCCAATCCGGATTGTCCGGATCCACTACTTGCGTGGTTGTGGTAACCACTGGTGGAGACACAGGCTGTTGCACTGTAGCTGCGATCACGCTCGAACTCGGCACAGTAGTAGCTGTAACTTTCCTAGAATTCGTAATAGCAAAACTCGATCGGAACAGCCTTTATTGAGATCCCATAATCTTGATCTGACGTAACTCGCGTAAAGGAGGCACGGCAGTGTCTCACGCCATGCTTAGCGCTGAGACACTACCGTGTTCAGATGTTGTTTAAACAATTACTGTACAAGAAATTTTTCCACTAAATAAAATACAAAATTGTGAAGTATCCCTTATATAACAAAGACTAATCTCTTAATCCAAATTATTGGAACTTAAAGAGAATTTATAAATAAGGGGCAATTTAATTATTTTGAGTAAATTTAATTACTGTTTGTTTCTTCATTACACATTTTCTACATACTTTTTATGCTTCTTTGTAGTCTCCTGGATAGCGGCAATGGCGGTTTGCGCCGCACCGGCCAGTTCCCTGCTGAATTCCGCAGCATGTACGCCACCAGTGTTAATAGCCTCATAGCTTGCCTTTAAACTAGCCGAGCGTCTACCTTGCTGCATTGATTGCGTGGCCGCAATCGCCTGTGACGCTGCTGCCGCAATGGCATTACCACCGGCGCCGATGTGGCCGAGATTATAACATACTGATCCCACGGAATTAGCAATCGCTGCCGGTGCCGGCGTGACACTATTCGTTGTGATAATAGGCGCGGAATTTGCTGATGCCGGCCGTGACTCCGGTAGACTTGTCGTTGTTGGCAGCTTCTCAATCACTAACCTCTTTTCGACTGACGTGGAAGATGCATTGGAGTCCCGTCGCTTCTCCGATCGAGCTGAAATTTGCGTAAAATTTGGAGATTAAAATTGTTGATCTAAAAATTGTTATGTATTACAATTTTATTCCATTTACAAATTTATAATTAATAATTAGTGACTTTTATAGCTTATCCTAAAGTATCTCCTAATAATTTTGACGTTTTTGAGAGTTTTTACTAACGCGTTTTACATTTTTATGTTAAAAGCCATTTGAATTAAACATGAAGTTACATGAAGTTATTATGTAAAAATACTACACTTACAATGGCTATGATTATCTCGCGTTCTGCTCGGTGTGAAACTGTAACGATTTTCTTTTTGGCTGCTATTTGTGGGTGGCTGATCCAACTCTAGGGATCTCTTTTCCAAGATTTCGGTGATACCTTTATTGTCTGCCTCAAGTTCCATCTTGAACTTGTGTAGCTCCTGATCGAGCCTCCTCAGGTACCTGTCTACCAAGTCGTACATCTGATTGGCTAAGTGCACCTTCTCATCTGCATCTTCCAAAGTCTTATAATACTCTTTTCTGATAGCTTCGTACTCTGCTTCCTTTTCGCTGGGTTTCATCTTCTTAGCATTGGAAAAAAACGTCTTTACTTTCTTTTCCAGGCTATCCATGGAATCTAAAGGTAGTTGACATTAGTTTTATCGTGTAAAGGAGGCACGTCCGTGTCTCGTGCCAGCACTGTAGCTTAGCACCGAAACACTACCAGTGTCTCCAGATAATTTAGTTTTTTTTTTTATTATTGTTATTTTATCACAATATTTTTATCTCTGTTATCAAATAATACATACTTTGTACACCTAAATCCATCTCCCTCATCTCTGTAAATCGGTCCCGTAACTCTTGTGGAAGATGCTCGATCACTGAAATCATAAGACAGACATTAGTAAAAAGATAGAGTTATATATTTTATACAAATTAATTATTCTTGAACTATTTATTCTTGCAAATTTACTTATACTTTGTTCTTAATAATCTCCACAATTAATAGATGTCTTTTCATTTAATGTCACAAGTTGACACAAATGTTTTTTCTTTCTTGACATGCCTTGAAACAAAAACAGAATAACATTTGTGTCGACCTGCATCATAGAAAATATTCAATATAATGTAAGCAACAAGTCTTTCAATTGCTACATGATCTTACATTAAACAATTTTATTTACTTCATTCGTTTATAGTAACGCCAACTTCAATAAAATTAATATTTTTTTGGCAATATTCTATGACTCTTTATCCTCATAGTGTATTGAACAAAAAAATTGCGACTATGTAAATAGGAATTGTGTACTTTAGAGGAAAGATTTTTAATGAATTTTTAATTCTGTACAATGAAATTCAATGTTGACAAACGGATTGCAGATTTAAATAATAATTTATTACTTAATGATAATTTATTATTTTCTTTATCTTGGCAAAGCAACAAGCGTTTCGTCGTGTCGACGAAACATCGCGCCTAACCTTTCGCCGCGAGGTCGCATTGTCAAGCGAACGCGCCTTCCCCGTCGCATTTTACAGCGATCAAGTCGACGCGCAAAAGGAGTTGCGGATCACGGTCGGCGGAACGTAAACAAAAATGGCTGCATTTGTCGCGGAACAAATTGGCCCGTGAGATTCTAGGTGATTTTTAGGTTTTAGGTTAGCCGCGCGCCATGCGAAGAGGTTAGGATTCTAGGAGCGAGCCGTGCCATTTCTCCTACGCACTTTCGACGTAATCTTCGAGGTAAAGCATCTTCCCGCGCCGTCGGTTGCCTGCGATTGATATACTTGACTAGTAGCCGCCGCACGTCGCCGGGTAGTCGCAAAATTCCGCGGGAGTTTGCAGAAAAACGCGCTGCCCGATCGAAAGCGTGCCCGCGCGTGTCCAGTCCCTCCGCAGTTCGCATTCGTATTTTCGGGGCGCTTTCAGCTTTCAAGTCTTAGTACGCTTTCAGATTTGACTTTCGATCTGAAATGTTCGATCGGGATTTTCAAGGGAGTGCGGTCGCAGCTACGACCTACGACGGGCTTTGCCAGGCGACAACGAGGCTCGTGCGAAGCAGCCTTGGTTCAGGATTATTTATCATATTTGTCGTATACCCAGTATACCTTACCATATTACGCGAAGATATCAGGGACGTATCGAGAAGCTTGGATCAAAGGGGATATTATCATCCTCCGCCACATTCTTCATTAAATTTAGTCGATTACGAGAAATCACCGGAATGCGTATTTAATTTTGGAACGCTTGCAATTTTAGCGAAATTCAAAGGCCTAAAGTTTAATCTACGATGCACTGTGCTTCTTGTTTCTTGCTTTTTAGACATCTCTTGCCTTTTTCTTATGTTTCTTGATATTCTGTTGCTTGAAATAAAAGTTGACAAATTTTGAAAGAGTAAAAAAACACGACTGTCTATAAAATAGTCTCAAAAAGAGAAAGAGATAAAAGAATAAAAAATAGAAAACAAAGAATATATTGTAGATTAGGCTTATATACCGGAAAAGAAAGTTAGAAAACAAGGTTTTTTTTGTCCTATGCGATTATTCTTCTCGATGTGTACATTTGTATTTTATTTATTCTTGATTTTTTGGAGAATATAAGCGCGTTTCAGAAGTCGCACATTATATTTGCGAATTATTATTTTCAATTAAATTCTGATAAGATTCGTTATATGTAAAAAAAATATAATTTTTTTTTTCAGTGAGATGATACGACGAAGTCCAACTCGGATAGAAATGCGTTTGGATGATCTGCAGGTGTACGAGGAAATAAGGAAAGCACACGAGTCTAAGAAAGATCCCGAAAGAAAAGCGTCCTCGTCCATGAATCCACCCTCATGGGGAGGCAAGATTCCTCAAAGCGAGATTCAGGAACGCATTGGTTACGTGCCGCAACATCCATCCGCGCACAATCGAGCTACAACATAGCAGCCGATTCAAGAGTTGCGATATGAATTACAGAATGAATAAGCAACAGTCGAATTATGCATTCCAACATAATTTTGATTTTAACAGTTGGATACATTTATACACAGATACGGTTTATATTAAACATATTTGAAAATGATCTATTAAAACAGATATAATTTTTTTAAAAGGAATTTGTTCAATTTTATGCAATTAATTACACCGGTTATGATAAAAAAATTGTAAACCTAAAAGCAGTTTTTATTACATGACGTTAGTTTTATTTACAAAATGTAATTGTATGAAATATACAATTAATGGACAATGTCTATGTTTTTCTTCTTTTTCTTCATCTTTATTGGCATAGGTCCTGGCATCTTAAATACCGTGCTTAAAAAATTCACAATAAGTTCACAATTATCATTTATATGTTATTTTAATATATATAATTAAAAAATATCAGCTAAAAAAACTTACTGGCAAGTAGTACATATTGGACTGAACTTACAGAAGACTAAAAAACGATAATACCTTTTTAATATAAATAAATTTAATGTTTAATATTATGTTTATATGTTGTTTTTTAGATTGTTTCACATTAATTACAATATTCTTAAATTATTGATCAGATATAACTTCATACTTACTTGATAAACATATGGAACAAACGTATCCAATATCAATAAGTTCCTGATGGCAAAAACATGCTGCCCTATAATCCACCTTGACTGGTGGAGGAAGAACCAATTTTGACCTAACACTGGGATCTGGCAGGAAAACCCACTAAATTATAAAAAAAAATGAATTATAGTATACATAATAATTGCATTTGTGTTAATAAAATTAAGTAATAAAGTTAAGTAAGCACAATTCACCAGTAAATACTGCAGCAATCCAGCAAGCTGTGGCACCTTCAAGTAATTACCACCAGTAATATCGCAGCCCTGTTGTAAGAGTGTCAGCTCTTGATCTAAGCTGCACACATCCAAAATGACATTCTGAAAGTAGCCAGGTGGATGTTTTTATGTTACAAATTATCTGTTATTCTATTATTGTAATACAAAAATCCAAGAGAGAGACAAAACCATTCTCTGTGCAGTGAAGAATATGTTCATATAATTCATGTACTGCGTGGCTGAGTCATTGCTGGCAGTAATCACTAGCATCCTAGGATGCAACTTCTGACCAGCGACCTTTTCTCGCTCCAACCGAGCAATATAGCACAATGCCATACTGAGTGCACCAGAGATAAGACTCTCCACATTCAACGGAACATCCATGGAGATTTCATTAATTACTTGCTGCAATTGCTGACGCACCGTACGTTCTACCATGGTAAATTTTTCGTATTGCCCATCCATCTGTCTTATTTCTATTGCGTTTTCACAAGGATAGAGGAATCTAGCACCATGGCCATGGCATGACATTATCGCCAGTTCATTATTGGACGATTGCATAAGGTGAGCATTGGCAAAAACAATTGTAGAATCTAAACACTGTGACAGTATCTTGGTTTCTTGCTTTACTATGCGCTGCATCGGATTGACATCCAGAACGATCACCAACAAACTTGTCTCTATTTCTGAAGGACATTTATAAGTAAATGAATAAACAAAGATCGAACAAATAAATTCCAATTTAATTCTGCAAAATAACATATTGCATATAAAAACATTAACATACCAGTCGACATTTTGTTAGAATTCTCTTTCTTTAAATTAGAAATTTCTTTATTTTTTAATTATAAGATATTTTTGTAAACTTTTTATTGTTTTTTACATTTATGTGGAATTAGAAGTTAATAATAAACAAATATCAAACTCATATATAATCACCATTGCACAGTGCAGCACAACGCCACTGATGCTAATGGTTAAATGATCACATTAACAGGTGATTTACGTTCAGCATTCAACTGTTGAGGAACGTGAGCGCTCGCTGCTATTGGATGATAAGCCTCTAAATAAGCCAATAACAGCGAGCCCTCGCGGATCCGGACAATTGAGTCCATAAGTCTATTTTTGCTGCATTTTAAATCGGAGCAATAACTTGATTGTTGAAATGAAACAAACGCATATTTATTTCATTTTAACTTATTGTACTGTGTATACCAGTTCAGAAAGTGCAGCAATAAAAACCAGATCTCATAATGTTGTTCGTTTTGTCTCTCGAGAGCTATTCGAGATCGCTTCAAATAAATCCAGCGTACTTGAAATGTAGGATTCATATTACGTACATCAGACATTCGACATCAGACATTCGACGTCCGACATCAATATATTAAG